AATAACAAACCTCAACTAAAGAGTGATTATATTAAGTTCATGCAAGAATATACTGATTTAGGCCATATGCAATTAATCACAAACTCGTCTGATGTTAATGTCAATAAACAATATTCATATTATTTACCCCATCATGCTGTCGTAAAGGAATCAAGCTCAACCACGAGGGTGCGAGTAGTTTTTAACGTTAGTAGCAAAACGAGTACTGGTATTAGCTTAAATAACATTCTTATGGTGGGACCAACTGTCCAACAAAGTTTATTTTCAATTATTACTCGATTTCGCACACATCAATTTGCCTTTACTTGTGACATTGTTAAAATGTATCGACAAAAAACGTGGTCGTATAAACTTGAATGGGACGATCCATTACCTGAAGATCTATATACACAATGGCCCGAATTTTCAAAGCAATTACATCTATTAAATTCGTTAACCATTCCTAGAAAGGCTGTAAAATATCATTTGAAAGGAGTTGTAGGTAACGCACTACTTTCATACGAGGAGCTTTTGACGGTTTTGACACAAATTGAGGCTTGCGTCAATTCCAGACCTTTGACACCACTATCCCATGACCCTGTTGACATTAGTTCCCTTACTCCCGGTCATTTCCCTATTGGGGACACATTAGCAACAACTGCAGAAACCGACCTAACCACGACAAAGGAAAATCGCTTATCAAGATGGCAGCATGTACAACAAATCACCCAGAACTTCTGGAAACGCTGGAGTAAGGAATTCCTGAATACTCTTCAGCAAAGATCGAAGTGGAGGGAGCGGTGCGCAAATCAGGCTAAACCAGGCCTACCGGTCCTACTCAAGGAGGAAAACCTACACCCATTGTGTTGGAAAATGGGAGTCATCAAGGAGGTCTACCCAGGGAAGGATGGTACCGTGCGTACGGTAATTGTGAAAACCAACAGCGGTGAGGTTTCCAGAGCTGTCAACCGCATTTGCCCGTTCCCACCAGAGGAAGAAGACGTTGAATCACACGGTGATTCAAGGGGGGCTGGATGTTCGGTACGGGCCTGATTCAGACCAGCCGGGCAAGCCCGGTCCTGCCCTAGGGTAAGCACCCCACCACACCACCCACCGGACGGAGGGCGCTTTCTCCCGAATTCATTCGACAACAACATTCAAGAACGACAAGAACCACCGAACGCGACGGTGGTACGGGCGCGATGCCCTCTAATACATACAACTTGTGATATATATAAATATATAATGTAATATAAGTGTTTAAACAATCGAGTATTTATTACGGTCCTTCGAAGAACGGCACGACGCCACAGGTAGTCTTCCCTATAACTTATTGCTAGAAGTCAATATCTGACAAAAACTTGCAAGATGTATCTGGCCCAGACAATTAATTTGTCGGAACGGAAGAATCGGCGAATGAAGTTCAAGAAAGAACGAAATCACGTTGGGTCGTGTCAAAATATGGATATTGGTGGGAGAAATTGCAACAGATTTGCCAATTACACAAAATTTGGGGACTTTGTAGTATTTGGAGTCACTTCAAGCGAAACCTGGATTAGTGGCATAAAAAAATTAATCTGCCCTTGGAAGGTTTGGAAGCCAAGTGTCTTGTTTAGACCTAAAAGAATCCAATAAAAATTAGCTGGTCTGCAAGAGCATGAAAACCAGATGGAATAAAATGATTGAAAAATTGATAAAACTTCGGTTGTTTTCTTTTTTTATAACATAGTGTGACTAAATCGGGATCTAAAACAGGTTTTAGTGCTCAAAGTGGATGGATGGTTGGACCAAATTTTCAGTTTGGACAATGTTGGAAATCCGGACGAAATTCTGACGACGGTGCACCAAAATAATCAGAATAATGAGTATTAAACGGAGTGGAACCTTCCCTCCTCATTCCAAGGAGAAACAAGAGGGTTCCGTTCAGACAATTTTGAAAATCCCGACGAAGTTCTGAGGATGATGGGGTAATAATGAGAATCAAGAAGAGTGGAACATTCCCTGTCAAACGGATCAAATTCCAAATTCAGTACATACAAATAACGGGTGTATTTCGTGACACTCATCAAGAATATGGAATGAACGGTTTTACACCAACTACGGTGCATTGGGAAGAATCACTTTTGCAAAACTGATGTACTTAGGGACAGCATTTTAGAATATCTTTCTGGTATACAACTATACGAGTAGGTACTATTAATACTAAGTATACATACATACTTATGTATACATACATACTTATGTATGGTTTATTGTAAATACCTACTGTTTTATTTTGCTTAATGCGCTCAACCCTTTCAGATTATTGAAATGACAAAACGTTTAATTAAGAAATAGTTCTTAACTTTTTTCAATAAAAATTAAAAAATTAAGCATCTTCATTTTACAGTCGAATTTGCTAATATTTTTATTAAGCGTTCTGTTTTTCGTCTGCATATTTCGTATTTTTTAAGTGTATTTCGTTGAAACTTCAGCCAACGTTTACGGAGCTTTCATACCTAATTGGATTAAATTCCGAATTTGTTTCTACCACCATCTGTACTTTCAATTCAAGGAGAACAAGGAATGTACGAAATATCAGCAACTCTATAGTCGCTGTATTAATCTATTAATGGAAATAGTTGAAAATGCATATAAAAGCGTGTTTTCCAAGCTTGGAAATGTAGGTTTAATTGCCTTCAATAAGATGAAAGTACTGCTGCTAAAGCATCACGGATTTCAACATTTGAAAAATATTAATGCTGCCTTGATAGGGAACACTGATTTTGCAATGTCAGACATTCTCCATTAACATCGTGCGATCTTGAAGGATCATTTTCGAGATGCAGAGGAGTTTTATTAGATAAAATGTTGAAAAATACCTACTGTTGTACTTACGCTATTTAGAAGAAGTTTAATGAATTAGTTACATTTTTGAATAAAAACTTATTACCCAATGTGCCTATTTTGCCTTTTTCTGGAGCCTTTTTTTCTACTCTTAAGTGGCCTATTTTAGTGCTTATTTTTAGATTTTTCGCAACTCAAAATCCTACGCTACGTGTAGACCAGCTCTCGTCTTATTTTGACTCTCAGTTGGATAAAGCTATAAAATCTACTGAAGATTTTAAATTTCCCTAAGAATTTCTAGAGTTTCTGAAATAATGCTGAGTATTCTGTGCTGGTGAACTAAGAGCATACCTCTATCAGTTCATAATATCGTAGAATTCTTTATATATAGTACAGAGTAATAGTAAAAAAAAAGCATTGCCATGATAACACCAATTTTATAAACAACATTTTTTGGTATTTTGTGTCAAATCTCCATTAAAATCGAGAGTTTCCAATATATAAAGAATCGAAGACTGGGTTATAATTCTACTGTACCTGAACACACAGGACTTCCTCTGCACAATCTTGATTGTTTGGGGACAGAAGTCAAGAAAATCAAAAAAATAAAAAATAGTGTGAGACAAAAGATACAAATGAGACGATGAGAGTCGCTAAAGAGGAAGACCCAAAAAAGAGTGGCACCAGCAAACAAGAAAACACATGGAGCCTTGCGGCCTTGAAGGCGATCATTGTCGAACCAAATTTTATGGATGCAGACAACGACCATAACGTGTTTTATTACCAAACTTCCTCTATATGTACATATTACGGATCTTTTTGCGAACCTGTCTAACTTGTTTTAACAGCTAAAATTACTGCTGATCCCAGAAAGGATATACGTTAGACAATTTCAAAGATCATTATCACCAATCATTGAAAAAGAAGAATAATGTAATTCTATCAAAAGCATGTTATCAAAATTAGATTATATTTAACACCAATTATTTGGTTGTAAGGAGTTATTTAGGTATCTATTTATTATCTCAATATTTACTAAAATTAAGTGATTAATGAATACATTTTGCTGAACGCTGCTGAGCGACCCTTTCGAGTGTGTTTCAATTCATAAAAATTGGTACAGATTCGGCACACCTCTCACAACAATGGTGTGTTTAAATAAATTATTTTTCTGTAAAAAAATAAATAGATTCATCGCAAAATAAATTGCTTTTACGATATGATTATCGATAATTTAAAAGGTATGGGTCGATTGCGCGCTGTGGTCAAAAAATCTACAGGTGGTCCTAATCACACAGGACAGGTGCGCGCATAATGCCTGAGACGCAAGTTGCGCGTTGCAGTCAGATAGATTTAAATTAAATTAAAGATTGTTTAACTCAACGATGCTCAACAGAATGTCGTGTGTCCAATAAAGTGAAAGGCCAATCTGTAAATTCTAAAACAAACAAAATGTGTATTCAGTAGAGCTCTTAATTTTTTTGTTTAAAATTTCAAAATTATGCATCTTCATTTCTGTTAAGAACCCCTATTTTTTATGTTATTAATCAATTAATCAAGTAATATTATAATATGTTATTCCAAATCTGTAGGCTAATGTAGGCAACTAATTATGTTTTTATCTCTTCTGATGCATTAGTTCAATAATTGTATCAATTTGTCAATATCAAACATCCGAATGGATTTTGATCTTTCTTGTTTTCCATTTAAACTGAACCATGTACTTTCTTTGTTGTAATTTGGATATATAAGGAAGCTCTGCTGTTCCAATCATTAAGAATATAGTCAAGTCTTGTTGCGGAAAGTTATTGTGATACTAAAGTGATTGCGCTATCGACTACTGTGTAAAGATCCTAAAATTGTCTTCAGTTAATAAAACCTGTTAGTAGTGTTTGTGCTGCGTTTTCTTTGAAAAAGTGTAACAAGTTGTGCTGAGGCATAACATTTTATGGTGGCAGCGGTGGGATCCGATAAAAAAAAATCGATTCCAACATTTTTTCGAAAAACACATCGACAGAAGCACTCATCATCTTTTTCTCGAGAGAAGAAGACAAGAACCAGGTCAACTCCAGGACATGAAACTAGGACTCTTCCTTGCACTGTAAGTCGATAATTGCATGCAAACACTACACACACTGTAACCGCACTTTGGACAAACTTGAAAAATTCTTCACAAAAAACAAAATCTATCAACCATGAGCGACGCCGAACTTTCTTTTGCCGACGCCCTGCGTCTCGTTCCAGAATACGACGGACAACCATCGCATCTGTATTCGTTCCTCAACAAGTGCGAATTTGCTTTAAATCGCGTTAAACCGACAGTCAAATCTATTTTCTTAGAAGGTGTAATTACGAAATTAATTGGTAGAGCCCTTGATGTTGTCAAATATAGGGAAATAAATAAATGGGAAGAATTGAAATTTATGTTAGAAGAGAGTTTTGGGGTTAAGAAAACAATCTCATTTTTGCAGCTTCAGTTAAATTCCTGCAAACAAAATAAAAACGAAGATGTCCGCGCGTATAGTCTCAGGTTTGAAGATATTCAATATCAGTTAATTAATGCTAGTTGTCTCGGTAAATCAGATGCTGAAAGCCAAGCCATTAGATCGTATATTAAATCTTTATCGTTAACCGTATTTCTAGAAGGATTGCAGCAACCACTTAAAAATATTGTAAAGGCACGTCAACCTAAAATTTTAGAAGAAGCTGTGCAAAGTACAATCGAGGAAGAACGTATCCTAAAATCCGATTTTTCGCAACGTAACTCTTTTAATCCGAACGGTGATAAGTTTTGTAATTTTTGTGGCAAACGAGGTCATATCATGAGAGAATGTCGTATGAAAAACCAAAATCAAAATTTTAATCATTCTAATCAAGCTCGTAATTTTCCAAGTCCAAATTACGCCAACCAAAATAATCGCACAAATTTTTCCGGTTACAAACCTCGCGTATCAGGTGCTGAGGCACCCAGATCCGTTTTTGTTATATGTAACTATTGTAAAAAACCAGGGCATCATATTAACGATTGCTATAAGAGAAAATTTAATAATTCTAGGTCTCACGAAAATAATCGCGGAGCAAATAATGGTCAAACTTTTAATCAACGAGTAAATAATTCCCAGCTTAGTACAAGTAAACAGAGAGATAATAATAATGACGTTCGACAATTGAGATCCCAATCTAATGTAATGATCTTTCGTTCTTTGAAAAATAACCATTTAATTCTTAAATCAAACTATTTTGAAAATACTCGTAAATGTAAGTTTTTAATTGATTCTGGTGCTGATTTGAATTTGATAAAAGTACAATCTCTAAGTGACGATACGCCATACGTCAAAGAATGTGTATCTTTGTTAGGTATAAGCGAACCCGCTGTAAAAACTTTTGGTTATAGTGAATTAAATGTTGAGGGATTTAATGAACCTATCAAGTTTTACTTAGTAAAGAACTCTTTTCCAATTCCTGAGGACGGTATTCTGGGTAAGCCGTTCCTCGAACAATTTAATTTAAATGTGAATATTAAGCAGCAGATAATTTTTGACAATGACCATTCAGGTAATAAAACCATAAATAATGATAACTCTAATACGAATAATAAATCTAATGACGAATTTGTACTACCGCCGCGATGTGAAAGGTTATTCAAAGTCTATATAAAAGCTCCAAATGGTGATTATATTATGAAAAAGTCTAAACAGGAAAAATCAATTTTTAATGCGGAATCTCTAATAAAAGTTAAAAATAATCAATCAGTCGTAGCACTTCTAAATCCTGGCGAGTCCGAAGTAAGATTAGATGAAATTGAAGCCGAAATAAGTCCTTTTAATAAATTTGATTGTTTCCCAATAAATAGACCGCCAGATTCAACTAATGAAATTAACGCAGTTTTAGACAGACATAGTAAAGTAATGGAAAAATTACGTCTGGATCATTTAAATTCCGAAGAAAGTCGCCAAATAACAGATATTTGTACGGAATACTTAGATTTGTTTACTTTTAAAGATGAACCCTTATCACAAACTAATACCATTAGTCATACAATTCCAATACCACAAACACAGCAACCTATTAAGATAAGACCATATCGTCTCCCCGAAGCACAAAAGAATGAAATTAACAAACAAGTACAAAGTATGCTGGATCAAGGTGTAATAGAACCCAGCACTAGCCCTTGGAATTCCCCTCTTCTTTTAGTCGCGAAAAAACCTGATTCCTCGAGAGAAAAGAAATTTAGGATTGTTGTCGATTTCCGTAAACTGAACGAAGTAACTCTAGGCGATGCATATCCTTTGCCGAATATCACGGATATTCTGGATCAATTAGGTAGAAGTCGTTATTTCACGGTGTTAGATTTAGCGTCTGGTTTCCATCAAATTCCGATGAATTCTTTGGATGCCGAAAAAACCGCGTTCAGTACTCCTTTCGGGCACTATCAATACAAAAGAATGCCAATGGGTCTTTCCGGAGCCCCGGCTTGTTTTCAAAGGTTGATGGACCGTGTTCTAATAGGTTTACAAGGAATTAAATGTTTTGTGTATTTAGACGATATAGTAATTTATGCGGAAAATCTAAAAGAACATGAAATCAAATTGAAAGAAGTTTTTAATCGATTAAAGGAACATAATTTAAAATTGCAACCAGATAAGTGCGAATTTTTAAAACGCGAAGTTTGCTATTTAGGCCATTTAGTAACCGATAAAGGTATTCGTCCCGATCCTGAAAAGGTCAAATCAGTTAAAAATTTTCCCGTGCCAACAAATACGAAGCAAGTTAAAGCATTTTTGGGATTAGCAGGATATTATAGGCGTTTTGTTCAAAATTTTAGTTCTATTTCTAAACCTATAAATAATTTATTGAAGAAAAACGTACCTTTTGACTGGACAACGTCAGTACAACTTGCGTTCGAAAAACTTAAATCAATTTTGTCCGACGATATTGTTTTACAATATCCTGATTTTTCTAAGCCTTTTAATTTAACGACTGACGCAAGCGGTACTGGCATCGGAGCCATTTTATCACAACAAACGAAAACTGGTGATCAACCAATCGCGTACGCATCGCGATCACTTAATAAAGCGGAATTAAATTACAGCACAACTGATAAAGAACTTCTTGCAATCGTTTGGTCAGTACAACATTTTAGACCATATTTATATGGCAGAGAGTTTAACATTTTATCAGACCATAAACCGCTAGTATGGCTTTTTAACGTTAAAGATCCTGGTTCCAGATTAATGAGATGGAGGCTTAAACTCGAGGAGTATAAGTACAAAATTATTTACAAATCCGGTAAAACTAATCAGAATGCCGATGCCTTGAGTAGGATGTTTGCATTTACTGATAGTGACAATTCAATTTTAGAGCAGTCACAAGATGCTGCTATTGTACAATTCATAACTCGTTCTCGATACAAAACTAAGTTAACGATGGAAATCTTTAAAAAGTACCCAGAAATAGAGTTTTTATTACAGAAATCTTTAAAAGAAAATCACGATGATTTGATCCATTTTATAGAAAATGAGGATTTTAAGTTTATTTTTGTCATAATAGGAAACGATTCATCATCTCAAATAAATGACGATATTTACCTTACTGAATTAATAAGAAAGTTAAATCAATTTTGTGTAGCGAACCAAATTCATTATCTGAGGATTTCGAAATGCAATAATTTTAATTGGGACCGCTTAAAACAATGTATACACAACATTTTTAAAACTCGTTCGTTTGTTCTAGAATTTTTTGAAAACAGTTCTGAGTTCTCCAATGACGAAAAATTTGAGATAATTAAAGAAAGTCACTGTTCCTTAATAGGAGGACATAAAGGTGTAAAACAAACAAGAAATAGAGTTCGCGAGAATTTCAATTGGAACAATTTGAAATCCGACGTTCAAAATTTTATTAAAACTTGTGAAGTATGTCAGAAAGTGAAAACGAGAAACAAAACCGTCAAGCAACCAATGGTTATCACTACTACGTCAGATGAACCTTTTGAATTAGTCTTTTGTCGAAAATTTGTAAGCCCTTCGTCCTTTTCACAAATTGAGCCCGTGTACAATTATGATGATTATTTTTATGAATTGAAAAATACGTTTCAGAAATCTTGGAATATTGCTCGCGAAAAAATAATTGAATCTAAACAAAAAAGTAAAGCCCTGTACGACAGAAATATCCACATTGAGAATATTCACGTCGGGGATCAAGTACTAATCAAAAATAATACCAGTAAAAATAAACTCGATGCGAAATGGTTAGGTCCTTACACTGTGCAATCAGTTGAAGATAATGAAAATCTGATAATTTCAAAAAATGGTAAACCATACAGAACTGACATTAATCAAACCCACAAATTCTTTTAGTTTACATTCGTCAAACAACAAATGTCTTCTATCTCATTACTTCAAAATCTTTTTTCGACCTCACAAACTCACAAATTCTTTTAACTTACTCTCGTCACAAGTAAGTCCACTTCTCGCCCCATCACTTCAAAGTCTTTTTCCACGTAACAAAAATTCTTAGTCATCCACAAATTCAAATTTTATCCAATGTTTAATATCATTTTGACTAAAACTAACCCGAAAGTTACGACATAAATCCTATCTCTAAATCATGTGGCTCTGTGCCCCAATTCATTCTTCTGTCCAAACTTTACCTATGACCATCTTTTATATCTTTCACTAATTCCATTTTTAATTACAAGGCCATTAGCTTCGGCTATGGCAATAATCTCAATGAAGATTATTCTTATCACAATGAACCCTTTGCATTTCAACCCGGTGTTTACTTCGAAGCCCGAGAAGACGCCCTAATCACCAATGATAATTGGCAACTAATAGTTTATAGTAATATTAGTCATCTTGTTAGAGATCAACATCTTAGCAGTAATTGGCATTCCTTATCGGCAATCGCATGTTCAGAGATCAAAGACAACAACTCCTTTAGCATTTGTCAAAATTATGAAAATATTATTTCCCCAACAATTCTAAGACTCAAAGAAAAAATTAGAAATCTTTTAGACACTCTTGGCGAAAACAATCTAAGTTCTTCAAACAGATTAAAAAGAGGTCTCGCAAACTTTGTCGGTCAAGCAAGTAAATTTCTTTTCGGTACTTTAGATGAGGAAGACGCAAACTACTATAATGAACAAATTCGAAAATTTTCAGAACGCGAAGAAACGGTAATGCAACTTTTAAAACGCGAAACTCATATAGTTCAGTCCACCTTATGTGAAATTAACAAAACAATTGCTCAGATTCAAGAGAATGAAAAAAATCTGCATGATAGTTTAACAGCAACCATTGTTCAAATTAATAAGCAACGTAAAGAACTGAATCAATTAATTTTGGCTGAAAGATTAAATACTTATTATACAACATTTTCAACATTGCTTTCAATTTATCAATCCGATGTCGATAATTTGATTCAATCCATTTTTTCCGCAAAAATTGGACAACTGCACCCTTCGATATTAAGTACTAGTCAACTTTTGCGTGAATTAAATAACGTAATTCCATATCTTCCTCCAGGTACAAAATTTTGCACAACTTTAGAGATTAATGAACTCCATAAATTCTTAAGTGTTGTTGACCTCCATGTTTATTATAGCAACTTCAATTTAGTCTTTGTGATTGACATACCTCTGGTATCTTTAAACACTTATCAACTTTATCATTTAATCCCTTTACCTGCAAGGCAAGTTAACGGCCTGCATCTTTATATCGAACCAACTTATAAGTATATGTTAATTGAAAAGAATAAACAGCATTATTTACCGCTTAACATAGATCAAATAAATCGTTGTAAGAACAAGAAAATATGTAAACAAGAACAACCAATTTTTTCCGCACATGTGCATGAAACATGCGAGATGAGATTGTTTACTTATACCGCAATGGTACCAAGAAATTGTGACACTAAGTTAGTTAAGTTAAATACGAATCTTTGGCATCAATTGTATAAACAAAATGTATGGCTATATACCTTGTTATCAACGGAATATGTAACTATAAATTGTAGAAACTTTAGTACACCTTTCAATGTTAAATTAGAAGGAAGCGGATTGTTTAAATTGAATAGATCATGTACCGCCTTTACTAGTCAATCTGTGTTAGAACCACATGAAAGTTTATATTCTACTATCCATTCTAATTATTTACCGTCTTATAATTTAAATTTAGATATATGTTTAAATAAATCAAAAATTGTTAACAATACTGATTTCTCACTGTATGTGCCATCAATGTATAAGATTCATGATTATCATCAGTTAGATTTAGCTAGTAAAAGTCTCAAGGAAGTAACCTCTCTTATTGAAGAGAATGAAAGGAATAATCTTAACTCATCTACACTAACCCACTATTCATTCTTATTTTATATATTTGTTATACTAATATTCCTGTATATTTCATATAAATGTTTACATTGTTATTATAAACGTTGTAATTCAGATAACGATAGCGCTAGAATAAGTAATCGCAATTCCGTCACTAATAATATTATTTCAAGGTGCTGTAGGAAAAAGCCTCGACAGGTTGCACCTTCTGAGCAGATTCATCTTCGAAATCTGACTCACCACACGGCAGATATCACCAGTGATGACGATGATGACGACCATCCAGTATCACAGTCTACACCTGGCTCTGCCTTGGGGACTTCACAAGAACTTTCGCCTAAATATAAATGACGAAATTCTTTTTAAGGGGGGAGGTGTTAAGAACCCCTATTTTTTATGTTATTAATCAATTAATCAAGTAATATTATAATATGTTATTCCAAATCTGTAGGCTAATGTAGGCAACTAATTATGTTTTTATCTCTTCTGATGCATTAGTTCAATAATTGTATCAATTTGTCAATATCAAACATCCGAATGGATTTTGATCTTTCTTGTTTTCCATTTAAACTGAACCATGTACTTTCTTTGTTGTAATTTGGATATATAAGGAAGCTCTGCTGTTCCAATCATTAAGAATATAGTCAAGTCTTGTTGCGGAAAGTTATTGTGATACTAAAGTGATTGCGCTATCGACTACTGTGTAAAGATCCTAAAATTGTCTTCAGTTAATAAAACCTGTTAGTAGTGTTTGTGCTGCGTTTTCTTTGAAAAAGTGTAACAAGTTGTGCTGAGGCATAACATTTCATACTCAAATTTGTTTAGTATTTTTCGTCCAATATTTAGGTTGAGTAATTTTTATTCGTTGTGTTATTTTTCAACTGCATATTTCCAATAGATACAAAATGAAACTAAATCAGCAGTATACAATTTTTTAAGTTCAACATTAAAAAAAAAGAAAATTGGCGTAAAAATGACCTAAACGACATAAATTCTTTCAAAGGGCACACTTTAAGTTCAGTTGAGTAAATATAAAAATTAACCTAAGAATACCGAATGTACCAATTTTAGGAGCTAGTCAACAAAACAAAATGCATATTTTGGCTCCTTTTAAAATTTGTTGGAAGTAGATATCTTTGGTATTGTCAACGTGGAGTCATGCTCACATAAATCCCGTACAACCTCATTTTTACATTGTGTCAAAATCAATACAAAATCAACAGCATGGACAGAAAATCAGATTGTCATCTATACGGGATTAATGTGAACATGACTCTTCATTATCCTGTGTGATCTTTTAAATTTTGTAGGTTGATTCTTAGAACATACAAATCGTATTGTTGTTTCAACATAACCTAACCTAAACTATGCCTTTGCTTTAATTTTGTTTTTCAATGTTAAGTTACAGCCTAATTTTTGACCAAATTTGTTCGGTTAACAAATTCGTAGGTGCCTAGATGAGAAATTTAAAAAAAATCCGAATATGTTATTTAATCGTACAAAGTTCAACTTTGCCCACCCTTTGATATACCTTCAAGACCCTGGGAGCGTTCGTAATCAAATAAACAAATTTTTTAATGCGGTACTAGACATTATTAAAACCTGAATTCCTACTTCCGACTCTGATTCATAAACTATTTATTGTTATTAAAATTATGTTCGGGTAGAGAAATCTGTTATGCCCACATAAGGCTGCAGGTAGAGTTACAAATTAATTCAAATATAATATTTCCAAATATATACTTCTACGGTTTCAAAAAATTTAAAACTGGGAACCAAAGCACTTTCCACAATCTTAGGGAATAATGTTAGTGTTATTAGTCGAATGGAGGTTTGAAAATTGTTTTTTTCCAATTTGAAACGCCAGCTCCGTCAACTTAATCTTCAAATAAAAAAATTGTCTCATCATTGAACTAACATTTGTGAAAGCCTACAATGTTGTCAACGTACACCTCGGATATCTCTGGCAGCTAATAATGCCAATTTCACGAAATCTATGTCTGCCAACAACGTAAGAGGCGCCATTCGGTCATACTGTATGCTCAAACATCGTTAGCATATTCTAATATTAGTCTATTAGAAGCATATAGCAATAGTATAATAATATTAGCAAATATCTTTCTGAGAACATATATGCCTATCTTTTTCTCTTGTTCGTTTTTTCCATGATTATTTTGATATGACCACTTACAAATGGTAGGTATATCCCTCATTAAGAATTCGTGAATAAAACAAATAAGGTATTATAGACCATCACATCGTGAGTATACTTACAATGCCCTTGGAGAGATTAGTCTTTTCTATCTGTTGCAGAATCGGGATTCTAGTGCAGGCCCCTGTGGTACCGCTCAGAACTTTTATAGAAATAGTCTTTCTTGTCTAAAAATTGGGCAAGTCTACCTATAACAACAACACAATAAATTAAGCTATTCCAAATTTCGTCTGCATATTTTGAAGTTACCAGTGGAATCAAATATTCTTCTTTTTATTAAAATAGTTTGGGTAGCTACACACGTTTCGACCGATTTTTAACAAGTTGTCGATTATCAGGCTAAAATAACAAAAAACTGACTAAAAAAAGATAACTGAAAAGAAATTACCTGTGTGGATGGGTCTTGAAACAGATTAAAATAGTATTTATACTTAGGATTGCACTACACATAAAAGATACAAATATTGGCAGCCAAATCACTAGAACGCAGCCATTTTGTTGTATGATAGTGGTATGACTGGAGCTTGTGTTGGTTCTGTCGAGTTGGTGCAGTCTGCAATGTCGTCTCCTCGTAGGGGGCTACAAATTATATGTTGATAGAAATCAAGAAAATCATAAAAATAAAAAAGAGTATAACAGAGGCGATAGAGATGAGACGATGACAGTGGTGTGGGGATGTACCACCCATGACAGACCAGAGATTTCCGAAAAGATGCGATAATGGATACCTGATGAACGTCACCGAAAAGGAACACCCAAAGAAGAGTGGCACAAGCAAACCAGACTGGGATGCGGACGATGACCATACTGTCTTATATTCCAAAACCCGCTGTATTTATACATGTGTATTATAGATATATTTGAATTTTTTACGAACCTGTCTAACTTCCTTCAACAACTACAATTTCTAGTGATCCCAGAAAGGATGTAAGTTAGACAATTTCAAAAATGGTCACACTTAAAAATAAAGATTTTAAAATGTCATGGTTAAAAAAAATACGTAACAAAATTTCAAATGTATCATCAGACTATCACGCAATCACTAAAGTGGCGTTTTTATGCTTTTTATCTTCTGTCCTCCAATATATTGCAGTTCTTTTAAAAAGTAAAAAATCACAGAAACTATCGTGTTTAGATATACAAAATACTGAAAAGGAAATGTATTTATTGTTAATATTTTCTTGAATTCTTATCAATCTTATCATCCATTTGGCATAATTAAAATTACTATAATAGTCGATTGCAGATTGAATAATTCTGTACAACTTATCAGTACTTATTCGATATCATACATTGTATATGAAAATTCGTATACTTATGTCATGTATTAATAATAAAAAAAAAATTCTTAATAATAATCAATATGCAACAGTACTCAATATGAACATTAAATTAAACTTTAATTATTACTTATAAAAGTATTGTAATAGGGTCCATCCGACGAATGGCTACTTTCATGTTTTTTGAACATTTTATGATTCCTAGTGTTGGAAACAATGTCCCCTTTCCATCTGTTTGTTGTTTGTTTTATGTCTTTCTAGATTTTTATTAGAGATTCTCAGAAATTACTGGACTGATTATTGTCAAGTTTTATGTGCATATTAACAATATTTTGTCGACGGTAAAACGCTAAGCAAAATTTGTGTCATTATCCTCACCAACAGCTGGATGACGTCATCTCGAAAATTTACAAGAATAAGTTTTATTTAAATTATATAAAATTATGCATTTTAATTTTGAAAGTGCAAAATCTTGCAAACATTTATCGTAAGCATGGTAATTCTTTAATCAAAATTTTCCTTTTATCCCCCCTCAAAATATGGATGACGTCATCTCAAAATTTTGCTAAATGAATCCCACCCAAAATAGGCAAAATATTTTATTTTAGAATTACTAACATTATACTTATTAATATTATTATATTACGGTGCTTGTAAATGTATATTTACCAAATGTTTCAGTATTTTGGTTAAGTAATAGCGGATGAAAAAAAAAACTTTTTACACATGACTTTTTTTATGTTTAGATAGTTAATATGTGTGCAACCGATATCGGATATTTTCTTGAAGCCGTCTCTGGAATGAATTAGAGACGGCCGCAGGTATGTTAGAATAGATTGTTACAATTCTGGATTTGCCTTATTAACTACTCCATTGTCGGCTGCACAGTACCCTAATTTTACAGCAGCCATATAACCTTATTAGTTTTCCAAGTTCTGTAGAGTGTTGTAAAATTAGGGTATTGTACTGTCAACAATGGAGCAGTTAATATGACAAACCCACAATTATCAATCTTTTAGACGATACCTGTTGTATAATCTCTCCCAGGTAAATTGGAATTGAGAAACAAAGTCTTGAATACGAAGAAAAGAAGTTAAACATGCCAGTTTGGACTTCTTTTGGACTTATCTTTTACTTGACAAGCGCTCAATAAACCCCTAGCTTCAGCTTATAGATGCCATAAATTTATGCCGAATGCCGCGTACCATTCAGTTAGTACTTAAATAAGAGATATGCTGTGCCCAAACAGTGGAGAGTAATAAAAATTACAACCATCCTAATCACTTCAATGAGTGGCGGCACGACCGCACCCCAAACAGCATTCGGTCTAATTTGACGGCCACAATACAGTGTTATAGAATTAGCATTGTTATTACTCCTAAAAATCTAAGGTAAAACTTAAAGTATATTCTAAAGAATGCAAATTTTGGAAAAAATTGGAATGGAAAGGAACAATAAGAGACTTTCCAAATTCATATGTAGTAGTCCAAGAGCTATAAGGTTATATGGCCATCATAAAATTATCCCATTCTGTCGAAGTTAAGTTGTTTATAATAGAAAAGGTTTTAGGGTGGTAAATAACGTGTCCACTGCAGCTCGACCGGCTGTTGTCGTTTCGTTCAGGGGCGGCTTTCACTAAATATCTAAATCTAAGCAAGAAATGTTTAGAAGACGATTTATTGCCAACAGGTAAGCTTAGTGCGAACCACATAAAGGGGGTATTTATGGTATTTATTTGCGGTCAACTACTTTTATGATGGTCATATAACCTTACCTATTCTTGAGTTATGTCGTTAAGTTATGATCTGACAGATTATCCCACTCCCCCTTTCTCTTATATTGATGGGTTATATAGAATG